AGCTAATCCCCCCCGCCCCCGACTATAGGGTCTTCCTTGGAGTTTAGGGAGCAAGCTTAGGTCTCCCAGCACATGCTGGGCTCCTAGGGGGTGATGTGGGGTCTCTAAACTAAACACAAAGGCCCTTCCCTCCCATCCTTTATCGTGACCACTTCCCGGGCATCTGCTGGTTCAGGCACCATGCTGGTCACTTCATATTTACTGTGCCCATTTTACAGATGAAGAAACTGAGGCTCAGAGAAGCCAAGTGACCGGCCTAAGGTCCTAGAATCTCAAAGTCATGAGTCTGAGCTTTGAACCCACACTCACCTTGGCATTTGTCCCAGTTCTGCCTCTTACTGGGTTTGTTCTTCTGGTCACTTTGTCTTTCTGAACCTTGGTTTCCCTTCTGTAAAATGGGGGTGAGAATGAGAGATTTCCGTAAGTTGTTCAAGGATTACTTGTGATGGTATCCATAAAGCACCTTGCTGCAGAGCTTCGTTAAGTGCTCAGCAAGTGGCTTCTGTGGGTATGGTGATATTCTCGGCTCTCTGTACCTGGAGGGGCTATATTTTCCTCATCTTTGCATCTGTGGAGCCTAGCAGTGTGCCTGGCACACAAGAAGCATTACAAAGGATACAAACGAAAAGCTAGCTATTGTCCTGACCATTATTTTTATGTTTTGGCTGACTAAGGGAAACTACTCTGGCCTGAACCTAACATTTGCAGGGCCTGGGGCAAGGGTACAAAACAGAGGCCCACACACCAAATGTCGAGATATTTAAATGTCATAAACCATGCTAATAACTCATTAAGTAAAACATGTCCTATCCTCCTACCTGCACAAAAATACCTTCATCGTGTCCTGAGAGGCCAAGTTCCAAATTAGAATTCTCTAATTCCTCAGGGTAATGAACTGGCCCCAACTGCAGCCGCCCCACCTCCAGCTCTGTCCATACCCCACAAATAGGCACCCCATAGTCACTCCCCAGACCTACAAGGGGGTACCTTCTGTGGAGTCCATCTTCAGGAACACAGACCTGGAAAGAGAAGCTGTGCACATTCTGCTGGATTCACTCAGTTGGATGAAGGTAATGGCCTAGGAGTGCTCAAGAAGTCCTAGATCCACTACCAGCCAGCCCAGCAACTTTGGACGAGCCCTGACACTCAGCTGCCTCATCTGTAAAATGGGCCAGCAGCTCTGCTGGCAGCCCAGGGCTGATGGGAGGGTCCACATGAAAACAGAGATGTGCATTTGCCTGCAGTCCCCCCAGCCTGAGGAGGGGGTTTGGCATGGCAGGCCAGCCGCTCACTCGGGCTGGGGGATGAAGATGCAGAGGCGTGGGACTTGGGCAGCCCTCCAGGAAGTCAGGCCTCCGAGGATCCCGGGAGGAGGGGCTGCTGAGCCAGCAGAGTTGCCGAGCTTGGCTGGAGTAGGGCTGGCGGCTGCTTCACTGCAGCCCAGGCTGGCCCCCTTCCCAGCTGCATGGACGTCTCCGCTGGGGGCCTGCGCAGCCCCTGCTCCTGCCCAGCAGCTGGAGCTGCCCCTGGTGCTCCTCCCTGGTGCCCCTCCCAGCCCCCCAGAGCCCTGATGCCCGGCCCCTTACGTATGAAATGGGGATGATGGAATGCACCCCCCATGGGCTGCGGGGGGCACACGGCATTCAGCTGCCATAGTTACCATCATTCTCACGCACACCACCTCGGTAAAGCGCTCAGCTGGTGCTTGGTCCCTAAAAGGGGATCGACAAACATGCGTCCTGGCCCCTCTTCCTGTCCAGCAGTGATGCTGGAGCAGCTCAGGCTGGGTGGGGAGCCCCGCCCAGTCCGTCCGTTAGCCCTAGGCATAGAACACGTGCGGCCCCCGGGCTCTATCCAGAGCCCCACAGGAAAGGTCAACAGCCCAGGGCCTGGCCTCTGGGACGAAGGTGGGACCCACAGACACGTGGCATCCTCCAGCCTTCCCTTAGCCCCACCCCTCTCTCCTGCCCTCAGTCTCCTTGGTGGCTTCACACTGCTCTGGATGTCCTTCAGGTGCTGGGGTGCACAGAGCTCTTACTCTCCCAGCATTGCGACCACACATATTTGTCTGGCCCTCCCAGAGCTGCCTCTGAGCCCGGCAGAGCTCCAGCACTCAGAGAGGAGTTTGAGAAGGACATGCAAGGTGTCGGGGCTGCCCAGAAGGGGCAAGGTCAGCGGGGAGCTGGATTCACTCTGTTGGCTGAAGGCAATGGCCTAGGAGGGCTCAAGAAGTCCTAGAGCCGGCACGATAGGTTCTGTTCTGTTCCAGCTGTGTGCCCCGGAACGTATGACTCGACATCTCTGAGCCTCAGTTTCCTTGTCTCCAAAATGAGGGTGGTTTCTCCTCGGCAGAGCCAGTATGAAGACCTGATGCATAATGCAGGAAAACGTTCAGCACGGTCTGGTGGTTCCTCAAGAAGTTAAACAGACAGTTACCATGTGACCCAGCAATTCCACTCCTAGTATACAGAGACATGAGAACATGTGCTCCAGAAGACACTTGTGCGCAGGAACCTTCACAGCAGTATTAATTCCTAATAGCCAAAAAGTGAAAACAAGTCAAGTGTCCATCAGCAGGTGAGTGGATAAACAAGATGTGGTCTAGCCACACACTGTAATATTATTCGGCTATAAAAAGGAATGAAGCTCTGACACCTGCTACCACCTGGATGAACCTCGAAAACACAATGCTCAGCGAGAGAAGCCAGGGACAAAGGCCATGTACTGTAGGATTCCATTTATATGCAATACCCAGAACAGGCAAATCCATAGAGACGGGAAGTAGATTGGTGTTTGCCAGGGGCTGGGAGGTTGAGTGGGAAGAGGTAATGGGGAGAGACTGCACAGAGGTTTTCCTTTGGGGTGACGAACATGTTCCGGAACTAGACAGAGGTAGTGATGATTGCCTGGCACTGTGAATGTATTAAGTGCCACTGACTCGTTCACTTAAAAAATGGTGCATTTCAGGGGCGCCTGGCTGGGTCAGTTGGAAGAGCATGTGACTCTTGATCTCAGGGTCATGAATTCAAGCCCTACATTGGGTGCACAGAGCACTTAAAAAAAAAAAAAACCTTAAAAAATGGTTGATTTCATAGTGTGTGGATTTTACCTCAATTAAAACAAACACAGCAGGGCGCCTGGGTGGCTCAGTTGGTTAAGCGACTGCCTTCGGCTCAGGTCATGATCCCAGGATCCTGGGATTGAGCCCTGCATCGGGCTCCCTGCTCAGCGGGAAGCCTGCTTCTCCCTCTCCCACTCCCCCAGCTTGTGTTCCCGCTCTCGCTGTGTCTCTCTCTTAAATAAATAAAATCTTAAAAAAAAATAAAATAAAAATAATGGACCACTCTGCAATGTGAAGGGCAGCCTGGATGGGGGCAAAAGTGGGGGTAGGGAGGCAGGGTAGGAGGTCACTCTGGCAGAGGGGGTGATGGACGCCTCTTGGCACAAAGAAGGGGAAGCCGTTTGGGGGAGGTCCATGATGGACTGTTTCGGCCATGGGATGTGGAGCTGTGTGGAGAGTTCAAGGGACAAGTCTACCAGGGAGGCGGATCTGAGCTGGAGACAGGGTGCAAGGCCCCCGAACAGGGGTGGCATTGGAAGTCCCAGAGCACGGACGAGCCCCTCCGGGTGAGTGGTGTGCAGAGACCAGAACTGTGGAGGGGACCAGCCACTAGGCGAAGGCAGAGAAAGACTGGCAGGAAGCTGAGGGGCAAGGGGAGCTTCCAGGAGCAGCGCTGTCAAGCACTGTGCAGATGTGTCAAGACGCAGAAGGACAAGTATGCATCGGGTTTGTCAGTGTGAGACCATCAGTGACCTTGTAATATTTTCACTGGAGCGCTGGGGGCACAAGATGACAGTGGGCTGAGGGGTGAGTGAGAAGTGAGGACGCCGGAATCAGAGAGGTGGTGAGAACGGCGCAGAGGGCCTGCTGGAGGGGGAGGTTGGGCTGAGGGGAAGGAAGGAGGGAGATGCGGAAGGTTCCTGGGACCCAGGGCCTGGGGGCGTCCTGAGGGTTTGTGGCCTTGGCCAAGGAGCCAGAGGAAGGAAAGGGGGTGTGTAGCTGCGTTTGTAAGCGTGGCAGGAAGAAACCACGGGGGAGCTGAGGCCACAGTGCCTGGAGTGTGGGAGTGCTGAATGGAACCGGAGGCATGAGGGACCCCAGTTTTGGAGGGGTCACTGAGGCTGAGTGGGCGGACAAGCGGGGCAGGCCAGAGCTGAAGAGGACTGAAAGGACCCAGACTAGGATTGCCATGTCTAGCAAATAAAACTATAGAACGCCCAGTTACATGTGAATTCCCCATAGGCAACGAGTGACTTTTTAGGATAAGTATATCTCATGGGACATACTTATACCAAAAAAAAAGTTGTTGTTTTTTTTTAATTATCGTTGCTTACTTGAAATTCAAATGTTAAGTGGGCGAGCGTCCTCCAACTTACGTGTGCATCCTAGCCAGGGGCGGGGGGTAGGAGACGGAGGAGAGGGGCTGGAGTGGCCCCGCCTCGGGACCAAGCCTGGAAAATGGGTAGCCGTCTGAAGGGTGCGGGGCCCAAGTGGGGAGAAGGCTGCGGCCAGGCATCATGGAGGCCTCTACTGGCTCCTCCCGCCCCAGAACATTGGTCTCGCCCCCCCACCACCGCGTAAGTCCCGTGGTGTCGCCTTAAGGGCCCATCGATAACTCTACGCTCGGCCGCGGCCTCTATCGATTCGCTCTGGCTCCGCTCGCCGTCCTGGGCCGCGGCGGAGCGCAGAGCCGCATGTAAGGTACGGTGGCCGCGGGACGAGGGCCAGAAAGCGGCCTCTGAGTGGCCGGGAGAGCGTGCCTGGGGGAAGCTGGCCCAGCGGGACGGAGTCAGGGCTGTCGGCGGAGCACCAGGGAGCCGGAGGGTCCGGCCAGAGGGCGCCCCCTCCCATCAAGCTTAGCCGCCGGCCTGCTACGCATGCGCAGCCGCTGCAGTAGGCTCTCCTCTCCGGCCGTTCCGCGGCCCTGCGCATGCGCGGCCCGCCCCTGCGGCAGAGCGGCGCCCCGGGCGTGACTGCCCCCTGCCGGCTGCGGGTGGGGGGGCGTCCCGGCCGGGTCCGTGGAGCGGGGAACGGAACACGCGCCTTGGAGTTCGGAGCTGTCCGCAGGTTGTCATGCGTCCCCTGAACCTCTAAGCCTCAGTTTCCACCTCTCTAAAATGGGAATGATAATGCCTATCTCTTAACACCGAGTGGGCCTAGAGAGTATTTCGTAAATACTGCACACTCCTCTCCTCTGCAGATGCTCTGACCTTTGACCCTTGCCTTTCAGAAGTCGCCTCCTGTGCAGGCCCGAGCCTTCTTCCACACCATGAACACGTCCCCCGGCACGGTGGGCAGTGACCCGGTGATCTTGGCCACTGCAGGCTACGACCACACAGTGCGGTTCTGGCAGGCGCACAGTGGGATCTGCACCCGCACGGTGCAGCATCAGGACTCTGTATCCTCCAGTGGGGAGGTGGGGAGGGCCGTACTGGGAAGGATGCGGGGTGGGTAACAGCCTGGGCAAAGGAACGGGTGCCTGGGCTGGAAAGGATGCAGCAGCCGAGCCAGATGGTGGGGGCCTCGAGTGCTCTGTTCATCCTCCTCCTTAACAGACCTAGCAGGTGAACGCACTGGAGATCACGCCTGACCGCAGCATGATCGCTGCTGCAGGTACCTGTACCCTCAACCCGACCCCTGATCTCTGGTGGGCCCGCCTGGGCACAGCCACCCTTCAGTTTAGCGTGTGCCCCTAGGTTACCAGCACATTCGCATGTATGATCTCAGCTCCAACAACCCCAACCCCATCATCAGCTATGACGGGGTCAACAAGAACATTGCGTCCGTGGGCTTCCATGAGGACGGCCGCTGGATGTACACGGGTGGGGAGGACTGCACGGCCCGGATCTGGGACCTCAGGTGTGTGGCACTGGGCAGGAGGGGCCTGTTGCCGGGTGTGTGGGGGTGGGGGGCCAGGCGGGGACTGTCTCAGGCCAGGGCCCTCCAGGCAGAGGCTGAGACGGGGTTTTCTGTGTGGGTGATTTATTGAGGGCGGTGACGAAAGCAGGATAGGGCAGGGGTGAAGCCACACACGGAGGAGCCCAGCCTCAGCCTGATACCACAGGGAGCTCTGGAGAGTGAATGGCATCAGAGTGAGTCCCACCCGGGGCGAGGGGCTGCCCCTGGGGGGGGCCGAATCTCCCTTGGGTCTCTTGTAAGGCTGCTGCTACCAGCAGGGGAAAGAGCGTCTGGGGGCGCCAGCAGCGTCCAGTAGAGCGTATGTGTCCACCCCAAAGGTCCCGGAACCTGCAGTGTCAGCGCATCTTCCAGGTGAATGCACCCATTAATTGTGTGTGCCTGCACCCCAACCAGGTGAGGCGCACTCACAGGGCGGGGCACCGTGGGGCTTTGGAGGGCAGGGGACTCGCCCTCCCTCACCTCCCCTGCACCCCAGGCGGAGCTCATTGTGGGTGACCAGAGCGGCGCCATCCACATCTGGGACTTGAAAACTGACCACAACGAGCAGCTGATACCTGAGCCTGAGGTCTCCATCACGTCGGCCCACATTGACCCCGATGCCAGCTACATGGCAGCCGTCAACAGCACCGTGAGTCCGGGGTGTGAGTGCACCGGGGGAGGCCAGCTCAGCACCCGGTCCCTGATCTTCCTGATTCCCGGCACGTGGCTTTCCCCAGATGCTCCTCCCCTCCCCCCTGGGCCTGCTTCCTCATCCTGGGCTCCAGCTCCACCCCAGCCAGCAAAGCCAGAAAGCGGGGTGTTGCTCCTGACGCCCCCTCTCACTACTGCCATAGCTTAGCCAGCGAGCATCACTCCCACCTCCAGAACTTCTCAAGTGTCGACTTTCTTCTCCTCCCTGGCTCCTCCGGGCCCAAGTTTGCCTCCTCTCCCCACACAGCGGCTGTAGTCTCCCTGTGGCTGCCCTCCCTCCTCAATGACACCCTCCACCCACACACCACACTCCCTCAGCCGCCAGCACAGACTTCTGTGGTGCCTGCCCGACCCCACCATTCCCTGCACAAACCCTGTGGTGCCCTGGCTCCTTGCCGTGGCCCCAGTACACTGCGGGGTGGCCCCACTCTCCCGCCCGGCCTCATTTTCTCCCCTTCGACGTCCCTTACCCCTCAACGAATTGCTGGTCCCGTGGCGTCCCCACACTGCCCTCCGCTGGTCCCACTGACATGCCCTGCCTCCATCTTGTTCTGCATGCTCCCGCTGACCGGCAGCTTTCTGCATGAAGGCCTCCTGCTCTCAGCCTGCCTAGTGCTCCCCGCAGCCCGGACCCGCTGTGCCTGTCACACGTCCCTGGCCTCCAGATCCCGGTGTGCAGCCCCATGTGGGACGGCTGCCCCTGGATCCAGGTCTGGCCACCAGGGCCTTCTTCCCCGCATGTCCGACTGAAGGCTCAGGTGTCCCATGACTCCCCTCCAATCGCAGGGGAATTGCTACGTCTGGAACCTGACGGGGGGCATTGGTGACGAGGTGACACAGCTTATCCCCAAGACCAAGATCCCAGCGCACACCCGCTACGCCTTGCAGTGCCGCTTCAGCCCCGACTCTACGTGCGTACGGGGCCGGGAGGCTGGAGCCCTTGCACGGCAAAGGGGTGCAGTGTGGGCATGGCTGCTGATGGCACCCACACCGCACTCACGCCCATGCCTAGGCTTCTCGCCACCTGCTCGGCTGACCAGACGTGCAAGATTTGGAGGACATCCAACTTCTCCCTGATGACAGAGCTCAGCATCAAGAGCAGCAACCCGGGAGAGTCCTCCCGCGGCTGGATGTGGGGCTGTGCCTTCTCGGGAGACTCGCAGTACATCGTCACCGGTGAGCACCCCCACCCCCACCCCCACCCCACGCTGCCAGCCCGGTTCCTGCCGCAGCTGCCTGCACTCCTGCTGCCTGGGAACCAGCCTCCGGTGGGGCCTGGCCTGGGGCTGCGCCCTGAGCTGCTGCCTCCACCCCTCCCTGCAGCTTCCTCTGACAACCTGGCCCGGCTGTGGTGTGTGGAGACGGGAGAGATCAAGAGAGAGTATGGCGGCCACCAGAAAGCTGTCGTCTGCTTGGCCTTCAACGACAGCGTGCTGGGCTAGCCCGTGCTCCCCTGGGATTTCAGGTGGCTGTCCAAGGAGCACCTGCGGACTAGGTCTGCCCAGCTGCCCAGGTCAGAGTGAACCTCCATGGGCTAGCCTCTACTAGCCTGGCCAGCTGGAACTGCCTGGCCTACCCTGGCTCCCTCGGCCGGCTTAGACTGGCCAGGCTAGTATGCCCTGGGATTCTCTCAGCTCCCAGTTGCTTATGTGGATGTGACAAGGCTCAGAAGCCTACTTGAGCTAACCTTCACTTGTTCCAGAAATTCCAGATCCACAGGGCCTGGAGGTCCCAGGCTGGTGCCCAACCCCAAGCCAGTGCTCCCCTGCCCCACTCTGCCCATTTTATGTCCCGAGGTCACAGAGAACACCGTTACGGCCAGGTGGAGGGTTTATTAGCTCCTGCCGGCAGCCACCCTCTGTGACTGGTGACGGGGCTGGCCTGGGGGACTGGCCAGGCTTTGAACTTAGTCTGGGAGGTAATAAAAGCAGACCGACACGCAGATGTTGCTGGGGAAGCAGATGTCGATGCATAGGTAGATCAGCCGCTGCCTCCGGGGCCCTGGGGGAAGGGGCCTCCGTGAACCCCAGAGGGCTCCTCCCCCTTCTCCCCAGACTGTTCTGCAGGAGCCCAGGCCTCATGATACCACCCCGACTTACCCTGTGCTCGACGGGCCCAGTAAATGGGTGTGTTCGTGCAGAGGTGCCGCACGGAATCCCCCACCTGGGCAGGGTCCACCTCATGGCCCCCCTGCACTACCAGCAGCTCCTGGGCAGAGTGGGTGTCCTGGCTGGGGCCGGGAGGCCCTTGACCCTGCACAGAAGGCTCTGGTGGGCCACGGCACAGGGGCACTGGCACTGTCCGGATTGGGGCAGGGCCTGTGCATCCCTGGACGTCTGGCCCACTGCCAGCACCACCCTCTACTCTTGTCAGCAGCCTCGGTCAAGGGAAGACAGGCCTTCTGTTCCTTGAAACCAGAGCTGCAGCCCGCCCCAGGCCTGGGCCGTACACAGGACCCTTTGTCTGTCCCCTGGCCTGGGGAGCCTGGCCGCATGGGGCTGCTTACCCTGGACATGTTCACCAGCAGCTGCAGGGTCTCGCGATCTCGGGGCTCCATCGGGCGGAGGAAGCAGGCCGGGTGTTCCAAGGGCCGGTAACAGACGCAGCCCTGGGGAGGCAGGCAGGTGAGGCAGGGCCACGCCAACATCCTCGGATGCTGGCCACACCCCCAGCCCACTCACACTCTGCCCATCGAACAGCACTGCCCAGCTGCGGTTGCTCTGAGCCGAGGTCACCCAGATGGTTGCCACGTTCCTGGCCGCATCCACCTGAGCAGTTTGGTTGGATCGGGGTGCCCCGGGGCTTGGGAGGGTCAGACGGAGCATCTGCAGCAGAGGCTGAGATCGGGGAGCTAGAGCTTAGCTGGGCAGGCTGGGACAGCCCCCGACCCACCCACCCCCCAAGTTCTACTGCGAGGTTTCCGACCCCCCCCACCCCTCTGGTCCTCCTGCCACTGCTTTGAGCCCTGGCTTCAGTGGAGGGCTGGGAGGTGCTGGCCTTCCCTTCCCCTTCCCACTGTCTGTGGCCCTGGCCAGGTCCCCAGAGGAGCTCACCTTGGGAGGACTGTGAGTGAAGCCAAGAAGCCCGCCAGCCACGGCCCCAGCAGCGGCCAGTGCCAGCAGCAGCAGGCCAGGGGCTCTGCAGCCCCCAGGGCCAGGCTTGGCCTTCACCTGGGGGCGCACTGCAGTCCGTGGGGCCTAAAGCAGAGACCAGGGAGCAGGCTGGCTCAGGAAGGCAGGGGCTGAGGTGTGCCAGGTGGGCCCTGCACTCCTGTCCCCTGCGCAGGCATGCCCTGGGTGTCTGTCCTGGGAGGGGGCGCTGGGTGGTTGGAGGCACTCACCTGGACAGGCCCAGGCCCGGGGCTGTCCTCACAGCAGTGCCTCTGCTCCATGCTGCAGCCCTGGTGACAATGTGCGGATTGTCTGCCGCCCCTTGGAGTCAGCTAGGGAAACCTTAGTACACCTGTGATGAGCCAAAGAACCGTCCCAGCTCCCTCCTCTCCTGACCCCACTGCTTCCCACCAGCCTGGCCACCTGATACCAGGGTTGGAGCCAGGACGCCCCCCCTGCTTGGGGTGGGGGTTGCCTGTCACAGTGCCTGGCTCTCCCGACACCCAGCCTGTGCAGACCAGAGAGTGTGGGGGCCCGAAAGGGTGAAGAGCACGGCTGTCAAGGAAATTGAGTCCCACGGATTGGCACGGAGGGCAGCCCAGGCCCCGGGCAGGGTGACTTTAGAGAGTCTGTTTGGGGACAGACTTCCATTTTCCTCTAGAGGCTGTTCCAGTGTCTTGAGCTATTTCTGGAGTCCCAGAGCTCAGCCCCTGGCAGCCCATCAATAAATGTGTTTCCCGGGCACCTGGGTGGCTCCATTGGTTAAGCAACTGCCTTCGGCTCAGGTCATGATCCTGGAGTCCCGGGATCGAGTCCCGCACTGGGCTCCCTGCTCGGCAGGGAGTCTGCTTCTCCCTCTGACCCTCCCCCTCTCATGTGCTCTTTCAAATAAATAAAATCTTTAAAAAATAAATAAATGCGTTTCCTGAGTGATTGGTATGAGTGCATGCTGCCTTTGTCCTTCCATCCCCTGCACCCCCGGCCACTTGCCAGCCCCTCAGACGGGACGGGCTGATGGGCAGTCCGCAGCAAGCGGGACTGAGAGCAGGACGGCTTCCTGGCAGCTGACTGGAATATCCACACGCCCTGGGACAGTCCGTCAGGTCAGCCCGCCCCTCCCCTGCCCAGGATGGCCTCCTCTGCTCCTAGCTTGCACCTCTGACTTCTTGATGCTGTGGATTTTGTGTCAGGGCTCCCTCTGGCACTGGCAGCTCACAGGACGTGCATGTTCTGCACCCCCTTCCCCCTGTGGCCCTCTCCTGTTCTTGCTCTCCTTTGTGCCACCGTCTTACTGGTTCTTCGGAACCCAGCCCTCTGTGTAATGGGCCTGGGATGCAGTGGCATCGTGGTGGTCAGCATCCCAGCTCTGGAATGAATCCCAGAATGCCGCCTTCTCAGATGCACCCCCCGCCCCATGCTAGGCAGCTGTAGCGTCTCAGCAAAAGCTGCTATCAAAACAGGGGCAAAGAATGCCAGAGTCAGCGCGGATTTGAGACTTTAATATGCATTTCGGTTCACACAGTGCAATGGGGGGCAGAGATGGGGTGCATGTGGGCTCCCAGGTTGCTGCCCGGCAGGAGAGGTGTTGCTGCTTGCCGCACCTGCTGCGTGCTCCTGGTGTGGGTGACAACGCCCTGACAGGCCTGCTCAATATCCAGACCCACCTTGAGCCGACCTCGCAGAGCCAACGTCAGCACCACCAACCTCACAGGCGCTGGCTGCCCTCGCGTTGCCCCACAGCAGAGTCCAAACCCCAGACACCCCGGGCCTCAGAAGAGCTGTGGGTTCAGACACCGTTTATTGCTATGAGTACTTTGAGAAAAAGGGAAGGAGTCACCCCGGGGCTAGGAGAGAAGCTTGTGGGAAATGCCACTGGGTACAGAGTGAGGCGCTGGGAAGGAGTCTGCCAAAAGGAACAGCTTCCCAGGCCCTACCCTACAAGTGCGGCTGGACGGTCTGCTTATCAGGTCAGCAACTTAGGAAACAGGGAGAAAAGGCCGGGACGCTCTGCCAAGAGCCCTCAGCTAGCAGGTGGACCCTGCCAGTTTTCCCGCTGGCCTCCGACAAGGAACTCCAGACCCAAAGGAAGTGGCCTCAAGGGCCACTGGCATCTAACTCCCACCCCAACTGAGGGTACGGGAGGAAAACAGGAAGAGACTGGATGTTTTGTAAAAGGATTTCCTGTTCTTGGGGACACCTCTTTCCTCCCCCACCCAGAGGGCGCCCAAGGCAACAGGCATTCCTTGGCCAGCACATGCCTTTAGCCGTGCTGCTGGCTGTGGGGCACGCAGACTTCTTCGGTGGGATTTTCCCTACGAGACAGAGCACAGCTATTAATTAACACACTTAAGATTCAATTCCACCGTTTGACAAAGTTGTTCAAAAGTTTAAAAAAATAATTTTTGGTACCGACACTACTCTGAGCTCTCTGCACAGCTGCCCAGAGTTCAGCAAAGGCATCCACACCCTCTTGGCCGCTCAGCTAAGAATATGCTCGGTCCAAATCAGCTGGATTTAAATGCACATTTGAGAAAGCTGAGGCTTAGCTGAACTGAGTTTACAGAACTCCGTGACCACGAATGAGGTGTGGCAGCCCTGGGTATCTGAAATCGAACAGACACTTGATTGTGACATCAAAGTGGTTTTTAAGTAAGTGTGGGGTGGTGGTGGTGAGGTCAGCACCCTGCACCCCAAGGACAGGGAGACAGCACTTGGGAGCAGCGCTGTCCTCCACTCCCACCCTGCAGGTGAGGGGCTGGGATGCTACAGCAGGCTCATCAGCAGATGACCGCACCAATGGGCCCTGGGTCTGTTTGTACAAGTTTCTCACAACAGTCAAAATCATCAGACCGTCCTCCCCTTTGGCCTGTAAGGGGAGGCCCGATCCCTGAATGCAATCTTCAATAAAACATCTAACATCCCTAGACCTGCCTCGGTCCCATCAGCAGGCTGGGTAACCACCCTGAGGTTACCTGTATCCTGGACAGATGCTAAGCCTGTTCTTGTCAATGGCATCCAATGCCCAGGACCCCCACAATGCCCTCCAGGTTCAAAAGTGCATCTTCAAATAGAAGCATCTGTAAACAATATCACCCCCCAAACGTTTACTTACAAGGTTAACAACTAGTGCCTTTACTTGACTCCACACATACTCTTTGAAGCCACCTAGCTGAGCAGATGCTTAAGCCCCACCTATTAATTTGGGTAAGTGGTTTTCAATTCATTTTATTCTGGAGATTAAAGACACTAAATCTTTAACCTTGAAGGGCAGGCAGAAGGTCAGCTATGCTGTCAACATAGAAGTCAGGGACCATTTTCTTCTTAGACATGCAGTCACTTTCCTGATTACTCTTCACATCCCCTAGAGTGGAAACGCCGGTGAGGGTCAGGATGGTCTTCAGGCCACAGGTGACGCCCAGGAGGATGTCCGTGTCCAGGCGGTCTCCCACCATGACGGTGCGCTCTGGGTTGATGCCGTACTCCTGGGACACGCAGTCGAATATGAAGCGGCTGGGCTTCCCTATGATGTCGGCCTGGCGCTGGG